TTTCTCACTAAATAAATCCTGGTCTAAGTTGGAAGCGACGCGCTGCGAAGCTCGTTAGTAAACTCGATCGACTTCATCAGTCGCAAGGGAAGGGATTGCTATACCCTTCGCGCGATAAAATATCTCAGGCAGGAACCGCAGGAGGGGGTCCAACCCCCCCTCCTATGTGACCCCGGTTGGGTCATCTAGCTAGTAGAAGCGGAGGATAGGGGCCAGAGGGGCAGACGGCAGAATCCAATGATGGGAGAAAAAATGTATATATATATATTATATATATGCAAGTAAAGTTTCAATTAGAAGGCCGGTACCGGCTTTGTACAGCCGATTCTATTATACATAACTGAGGACACTGGCTATTGTCGGAGACAGATGCCGGTGCCGTGGCAGTATTATCCCACTGCCAGGGGAAGGCTATTTCCTCTCGTGATGTGTAAACGAGGAGAAGAGGGTAGAAAGAGAGAGTGGCCATAGCGGCAGAGGGAGAGGAGAGTCGAAGACTCTCCGCTTCCACTTTCGGCAAGTGGCCAGGGACTTCGGAAGATATCCATCTCCGACGGTGCATTTCCTGTCACTCTCCTTGTGACAAGATACCCCGAGGGAGCCATATCTTCCTACACTTTGTATGTGCACACATGGTTGGTTATACTCCTGACAGGTGTCCTCCACATCACCCCCCCCTCTATGCGCCACAAGTCCATCTGTGCTAAAGATGTGCTTTTGGCGGCCATAGACATGAGTGGCTCATGGAGACACATGTATTGGAGTTAACCTACCTGGTACAACATCATCAACTCGGCCTGATTATCATACAACGCGTGTTAAAAAACACGGAGTCTTCAGACAGAGTAGTAGTGATAGATGTGGTCCATACTAGTATAGTCTAGAAAAAAAAAATTGTGGGTACTGGGCTATCAAGATGACAGCTAGTGTACTAAAATATTTCGCATGATAATGCTGTGGGGTTGATGAGAGATAGACTCGTAATGAGGTGACCCTCCGGCGAGTCTGTCTTTTCATCATAAAATAATATCGTGATGAGGAATAAACTTGTAATGAGGTGACCCTCTAGCAAGTTTTCTCTATTCATCATCGAAAAATAAGATATTGATGGAGGATGAACTTGTAATGAGGTGACCCTCTGGCAAGTTTATCTGTTCACCAAAACATAAGATATTGATGGAGGATGAACTTGTAATGAGGTGACCCTCTGGCAAGTTTATCTATTAACCAAAAACAAGATCTTGATGGAGGATGAACTTGTAATGAGGTGACCCTCTGGCAAGTTTATCTATTCATCAAAAATAAGATCTTGATGGGATGAACTTGTAATGAGGTGACCCTCTGGCAAGTTTATCTATTCATCACAAATAAGATCTTGGTGGGATGAACTTGTAATGAGGTGACCCTCTGGCAAGTTTATCTATTCATCACAAATAAGGTATTGATGGGGGATGAACTTGTAATGAGGTGACCCTCTGGCAAGTTTATCTATTCATAAAAAAATTAAGATCTTGATGGAGAATGAACTTGTAATGAGGTGACCCTCTGGCAAGTTTATCTATTCATAAAAAAATAAGATCTATTCATAAAAAAATAAGATCTTGGGACAGCGGTGGTATCATTCAACTCTCCTCGCGAGTGTTTCCCCAAACACTTCAAAAATAGGTTGTTTCCCCTGGATACAACCAACCACCGTGGCTACTGGTCCTGTGCTAAATATATATATATAACACAGAATAATAGTAGTATAAATTTGTTCGAGTCTCGGAAAAGATAGACATGGCAACTGTTAGGAACGATAGAATAAATCAATCGTTTAATTTCCGGGCCCTAGTTCGTTTTCGTTTGCTAGTACGGCAGGGCAATTGAGTATCACTCTGTGTCGTAGCAGAACGCGACTTGGGTAATGGACCCTCCTTTAGGAGCCTTCTTCGTCGCTTCTTGGTTTTGTTCGGTGGCTCAGAGCCACTTTGCGTTGCCAATTTCCGACTTAAAGGTTCTTGAGGAGTAGCTGCCTGTTTTCGTTTTCGTTTCCCTGTTTTACTGGGTGATTTTGGGTCTCCCTGTTCAACTGGGGCACGAGACGACGATTTATTAGGCTGCACGATTTCCAAACCACAACGGATTCGGTAGGCAGATATCATTTCTTGACATTGTGGAATTTCGTCTGCTCTATATTCAAGGTCTGACTCAGGGCCGTAGCCTCGAAGACGCAAACGATACTTGTAGTTGTACGGGGTTTTCGGCCCCTTACCACTCTTATGACTTACCACTTTGTCAACGACGTAGGATTCAATTTTCGGTTGAGCTTCGTCGGGATGGTCTAGCTCGGGCAACGGAATCTGGCGTCCTAAGAAAAACTCGGAAAGCTTATCAAAGTCTGGCGCAGGTGGTGTTTTCCTCGCGTAGTACTGTTTAATGTGGGCTAAATGGACCGAAACCTCTCGAGTTTCGTTCTGGCGTCTCACTCTATATACCACCGGTGATAATTTAGAGCAGATGACGTATGGTCCTCTCCACGGTAACAATAATTTCGGATTTGGTCCATCCGAATCCTGGTATGGGCGGTACACAAGTACTAGATCATCAGGTTTAAACACAGGGATAGGGCGCAGTTTAGCGTTCTTAGCAGCTTGTTTTTTTTTGTGCGTTCCGATAGGTTACGGCGCGCTAGTTCAAAAGCAACCTGTAGATTTTCCTGTGTTTTAGAGAATTCCTCGGTATTCGCTGTTGTTCCCACATGAGGGATGCCGAGGATAATGTCAACTGGTAGTCGTGGCTTCCGACCAAACATAAGAAAGAATGGTGTTTCATGCATGGTGGAGCTAAATGACGTGTTGTAAGCCAGTTGGACAAAAGGCAGCAATGATGCCCAGTTATCGCGGTTCATGGAACTATGCATGGCAAGCATTGCGTGCATGGTAGCATGTACTCGTTCTGAGACAGAATTACCCTGCGGACGGTATGGTGTCGTGCGGGTTTTCTTATAGTTCAGAATACGCTGTAATTGGTGGACTACACTGTTCTCAAATTCAGGTCCTTGGTCGGAATGCAACAGTTCAGGCGATCCAAAGATGCTGATGATGCGGTCGATAATGGCCTGAGCGACAGTGATTGCTGACTTGTTGGGAATCGGAGTCAACACGGTGAATCGGGTTAGGTGGTCCATCATGGATAGGACATGTTTGCACCGTGCCCCGGCGGCTGAAACTGATTCTACTTTATATTCAACTAGGTCAACCGAAATACGTTCAAACGGTCTTTGTACTGGTACATGTCCCGTTGGTAATTTGTTCCGGTTGTGGGCTGTTTTCCGACGTTGACAGGCTTGGCATTCTTGACACCAAGTACGGACGTCCCGATTCATGGTTGGCCACCAGTACTTTTGGCGAATCTTCTCATAAGTCGGTCTAGACGCTAAGTGGCGCCCAGATAATACGTGGTCATGATAGGCGTGTAGCACTAGTCCGGTAAGGGCGTAAGGCAACACCAATTGGTCACTAAACGTACTACGTTTCCGGAGGTAGCCTGGTAAATACGATTTAAACAGCAATCCATCACGCACGTCGACGCCAATGAGGACACTGGCTATTGTCGGAGACAGATGCCGGTGCCGTGGCAGTATTATCCCACTGCCAGGGGAAGGCTATTTCCTCTCGTGATGTGTAAACGAGGAGAAGAGGGTAGAAAGAGAGAGTGGCCATAGCGGCAGAGGGAGAGGAGAGTCGAAGACTCTCCGCTTCCACTTTCGGCAAGTGGCCAGGGACTTCGGAAGATATCCATCTCCGACGGTGCATTTCCTGTCACTCTCCTTGTGACAAGATACCCCGAGGGAGCCATATCTTCCTACACTTTGTATGTGCACACATGGTTGGTTATACTCCTGACAGGTGTCCTCCACATACATGGCGATTCTATAGGTGCCCGATATTGTATACGGCCAGCCTAATCTCGTGGCACTATGCGGCCTTATATCGGGCCCCCAACTGTATGGACGTGTCCATGAACGTCCACAGACTGTCTTCTTTGATCGTTGCTCTGCACAAACTGCTGCGACCAACCCTCGAAATTGAAGCGCCGGAAGGCGTGGCGACAAAGCATGGATTGGTTCAATACTACATCAGGATAGAAAGGTACTTTGAGATGCGTTGACGTCGGTATAATATTTGAAAGCGAAAATCAAAATATTCCAAGAAGAGATCAACGCACGTCCGTACATGGATGCATACATGAGCGTACGGCGGACAATAATAACAAAAAGAGAGAGAAGAAAAAAAATGAGTCCAAGACCAACGAAAGATCTAGAGTACACTGCTTTGTGGACGGCAGTGAATGCAGTCGACGACCAGACTTGAACTCAATATGTCGTGCAGATAATAGATAGTATATTCAAGGTTCCCTTTCGGGAGTATGGTGGCTTGCCTCCCGGGGACGACGCAAGCGGACATGCACAATGTCGTGCAGGTCGCATCGTTGCTTGCTCAACGTGCGGTAGTGCCGATTTTCCGTACAAACTGCAGATTTACGTGATGTGGGGCGGATTTTTTTTTCTCACAGTTTTTCGCGAGGGCGTGGTGTGTCCTTTTATGGGCCAGCGGCCTCTGTGCCGCAGATCCTACTGCTATAACCCGCTGCGTTTGATCGTTCGCTCTTATGTGTTGGTGCCGTGTTGCTCTTGGTGTGTGGGAACCTGTGTGCGTTGCGCAGCAATCAAAAGCCTTTCAGATGTTGCGTAGAATTTGTGTTTATTGCAAAAAAAAATAGCATTCAGAATGCCTTCCCGCAAAATAGAGCCAGTCGCGGCTCCTTTAGGCGTCGATTGCGCATACCATGGACGCCTTGCCGGCCCTCGGGCATGCGACACTAATTTACCTACGAGAAAAGTGTCGCTAGCCGCCCGAGAAGTATTGAGCAACGTTGCTCGCGTAATGATAGTGCCACGCCCTCTGTTGTCTGAGACTGTATGTACCACGCGTCTTTACTCCTGCTGCACCACGCAGGTCCTGCGAGGAATTGGGAGGGTGAGCGGATGTATGGCCATTGGTTTGATGGAGACGGAATGATTAGTAAGGTGAGGGAAGAGGGTGCGTTTGTGCGTGGGAAAGCTCGTGTGCTTGGGGCGACACGGCAAGCACGTGGACATGGTGCCACTGCTATTGAGTGTTACAGCTTTGCCTCCACAAATCTTGTCCCACTGTTCTGAAGTTCGACCCAACCCCCTGCAACAATAATCATCGCCTTCTCTTGCTCCCGCAGTACGTCCACGGTGGTGTCGATCTCCGGCCTAGCTTCGGCAGACATTAGAACATACTGTAGTAACTTTGCACCCGATCCCATCCGCACCCGTTCGTTGCTAACTTCCAACACGTCCCCCCGTCATCGAAGGTGGTGTTCAAGGACGGCCGAGTGTACGCACAAAACCGCTTCGTCTCTACAGATTCTTGGGACCCCAACGCACCCGAAGGAAAGAGGGCCGCCGGGACTAGGAGGCCATGGACACCGCGTCCAGGCGGGTGGCGGAAGAACGTCTTGAAGCAAACGGGCAATCTCGCCAACACCAGCGTGATGGTTAAGGGCGGGAAGTTGTACGCGCTGTACGAGGGCGGCAAGCCGACGGAGATTGATCCAGTGACACTAGAGACGCTCGGAGAGCGCGACCTCGGCGGGATTCAGGTGGGTAAAGCCGATGAGGTATTCGCTCATCCTCTGCTGTGCCCCTGGTTGTGCGGAACCTAGTTGCACGCCATTGAGTTGAACGAATGTTCTGCTTCTTTCGATTGGAGGGTTCGACCCTATGTGTGGGGCCCAGATAGATCTACGTATGCTTTTCTGTATTATTCCGCTCCTTGGTGTAAGGGTAGCACCCCTTGGCGCTATCCAAATGCTACATTTTTCAGGGGAAACGTGCGTTTAGTGTGCAAGCTGTACGTGCCACCACGTGTGTACAATAAACCTGAGATTTTCCCAGCCCTTGTGGGCGCTTTATGATATGTTTAGGCTATTGACGCGTTCGTGCGTTTCGTATGTTGTGCCCCCCGTCGCTCGGCCAGATCAGGCCCTTCTACGGCGCACGGGATCACGCACGGATATTGAACTATCCTACTACCGTGGTGTTCCTCCTCAAGTTGATTCGACGAGTCAGAGAGTAGTTGCGTACTTCTTCCTCCTCCACTCTAATATGTATGGTGGGTTTTCCTCGGTGCCTCCTGTCCGCTACGACTCCTCCAGCCAGGCGTGGTCTTGAAACCTGAAAATGCACGCAGGGAAGTTATGTCGTTTTCTTGCATGACCGTCCTTGCCTTGCCTGACCCTGGGACGTCTTCCCCTTTTTGCACATGCACCCGTTTATTCTCTCCTCTGGCGGAAGCTTGGACGAAAAGCTAAAAATTCCATCCAGGGTGTGCAAAATTGCCTCTCAAGCAGCACTGTTCAATCGCACGATGCTCCTATCCTTTCTGCCGCTCTATCCCACCAGGCGTTTTACTCCGCACATCCGACAACGGACAGAGATACCGGGGAGACGTTCAACATTGGAATAGGAGGGGCGAAGGGGGCGTTGGAGATCACGAAACTCTCCCCTGACGGTGTCCTGCAGAAGAGCACGACGTACACACCGCCTGCGTCACTTTTCTGGCATGACAATACTATCACCGATGAATTCGTGGTGGCAGTGAGCTCGCCATTCGCCGCATCGCTCAAGTCAATCTTCGCATCTATGCTTGGGTTCGGGCAGCTTGGGGACGCGTTTAGATGGAACGACAACATGAAGTCAGAGGTGCCTGTGCTGAGGGTTGACTTGTTCCATGTCGTCACGGCGTGTGATTCGTTGCGCACGCTCAACTGATTTTTTTTCAGTTTTTGTACACCTGGCTTCCCTGCCTCGCTCTCCCCCGCTCCCTCTCGAAACCTAGTTGCCCCCCCCGACGGTGTTTCTGAACATTACCAGGCGTTTTTCTTCTCGAGGGAGACATTGGAGTTGGTCAAGAGAGTTGAACTCCCTGGCGCGCCGTCGTCGTACCACATCGTTAACGGCTTCCAAGAGGAGGGTAAAGGGAGCAATGTATCCGTGATAATCGCCAAGCACCGCGACGGCGGGGGCCGAGAAAAGATCGAGACTGTCTTCAGAAACCTCATGACGACCAGGCAAGCAAAAGAGAGGAGCGGGTCGGAGGAAGACCGGCGTGTAAAAGGAGTTGCCCAACGCCACGCATGCGTGAGCGTATGCATGGCCGGGGGAGTGTCGCGGGTCGGGTGGCGGAATCGACGCCCAGCATCCTTTTCTATGTGTGTAACGATCACTCTGCGTTGGATTGGCCCATGGCCCTGTGGTGGAAAGTAAGACAGTCGTAACTTTCTGGAGAGACTTCGAATGACACTGCTCGGGCCTCCCGCCGACGTGGGTACACCCCAAACACCTCCCCCGGGGACGTGTCAGGTTCTCGGAAGACGTGTTGTGCGACGCGTACAAGTACGAGATAGATATGGAGGCCGGGGAGGTGGTTTCCCACGGCCCCGCTGCTTCGATGCAGGGAGCGTTGGCGATGGAGCTACCCACGGTGAGTCTTGCGCCGTGCGAGGCAGCCACAGCCATACAACGCTTGATGCCCTTGTTTGGTGGCATTGCTCTGGTTTTGGGTTCCGTGTCATCCTCGATGCACCTGCAATATGGAACAAGCCAAGCAGCGCACTCGTGGTTCGCAGCTGGACGTTCAGCACGCCTGAAACGCCTACTCCTTTCCACCACCTTCTTCTAGTTCACAAGGCACCTGGGGTCTGATTTCGGATTTCGGATTGTTTATTTGGCCTCGGTGACAACGCAGATGGATTTCCGATACGTGGGCAAGCCAAGCCGGATCGTGTTCACGAACGCCTTGCTTGGTGACCCCGGATTCCTGAACAGCGTTCAGCGTGTTGATCTGAGGGGGAAAAGCGGCGAGGCGTGGACGACACACGTGAGCGGGTGCCAAGCGGATTGTGTAGGACAGAGGAGTCGTGCTCGTCTGGACGCACCTTGCGTTGGTGCCCTGTTCGACCACCAATCCATTTTCTCGTGAGACCCACGTCCACGTGGTACAAACTCCCGTCCCCTTATCCGCGGGTGCTCGCCCGTTTCGGTTCCGTCACCGCTGCTTGGTGGCAGGACTTCGGAGAGTCTCGGTACGCAGGAGAGCCGGTCTTTGTGCCTAGCTCGAAAGATGCTCAAGAAGGGGAGGGGTACCTCATCGTGCTCGTATGTGAGTAGCGCTTGTGCACAAGGGTTTGATTGTTCGTCTTTGGGTCTCAGCAAGGCCGGTGCACCAAACGGTTCACGGAGGTTATGTGTTGCCACTCTTCGTTTGTGTCAGTGTCGTTGAGCATTGCTCTGTATTTTCGTTTCTGCGGCAGCTCCGTAACGCGATCGATTGCCCATTCCCGCGACTATCTCGCTCGCTCATTCCCCTCCCCCCCCCCCCCCTCCCTGCCTCTTTCGCTGTCCGTCACTACTGCATTTCGTTTCTCCATAGACAACACGAAGACGCACACAACCGATGTAGAAGTTTTGGACGCCCAAAAGGTAGAATCGCCTCCTCTTTGCACGGCACGCATCCCGTGGCACATGGGCGCCAGCTTCCACGGCGTTTTTACGCCGACGGCGCATCTCTAGCCGATCGTTGATGCTTACAGAAACCGGGTTGTCGTCCTTCTCGCTATTTCGATGACGGGGGTGGAGCGGGAGTTGGTTGTACAGTAGTCTCCTTCGACCAGAGTTTCACACCAAGGTTTTTGTCCTCTGCTTCTTTGTCATTGCTGCGGCTCTGTCCCGACGAAAGCCCGTGGTGTGGTTGCGGTGCCTGTACACCACGAAATGTCTGTGCTGAGCCGCCGGCAGCCTGCGGAAGCGCCGCCTGCATCACGTCTCGAGCAATATCGTTGGGCGAAGTGTGTTCTCTACATACCCGTGCAAACTTTGGTCAAATTGTTGTTTGAGCGCTAAATACCTCAGACATCTGCGCGCCCACTTGAGAGGGATGATGACTGGTTGGTGTCGTCACAGCTAGCTGCGGTTCAAGGTGCTGCTTATAGCCTCGTTGGTAGTCTGGCCTCTGTTTGCTGGGGCAAGAAGCTAAAATCGGTTTGGTGCAGAGAAGTACGCGGAGTGTAGCGTGGGTGAAACAGTTTGGGTTGTGAACTCAAGTGGGTGATGAGCTATGTTTAGTGCTGATCGATGGCGCGGTGCGGCGAACGTCAGCCTTTTGCTTTCGCAACCCGTTGGACACACCACACGGGGTTGCGCAGGAGGATGCTAATTGTCGTTGCACTTTCGTTTGTGAGCGACACGTATGCACCACGTTCGTGTCCACAACTGCTGCCGCTGAACAGGCACATGCGTATACGGCGGTATCGATGTACATGAATCGGCAGTAGTATTGGTGTTGATTGGTGTCGCTTCTCCCGTACACCGCGCTTCTCATTCACATCAGTTTACGATCCCGCGTGTTTTGGGCACGGAATTTTCCGAATAACAAAAGAATCGCCAATAACGTCTATCTAGCCCCCGAAATCGTACAGATCCACGCCCGACCCAGGAGACGCGGCAGCCACCCCCGGCGGCGCTCGATCTACGTCCTCTCCTCCTTTCCAAAGCATGGAGTCGAGAACCGAAGGATGGTCGGGGGCGTCTCTTCCCGCCCCCCCTCCCTCAGCGGGGTCGCCTCGCTCTCCTCTCCTTGCCTTGCTCTTCGGTCTGCTCCGCTCCTTTCTCCCGCTGCTACCGCCACCGCTACTTCGTGTGGGCTGGTGTTCGCCACTTCCGCTTCCCCAGTCTATCTTTGCTCCGTGGTCCTCCTGGTTGCCCCATCCTGCTGCCCCCCCTAACGACGGTCTTGTTTTATTTCTTCGCGACTTTGCCCGCACCCTGTCTCCGCCTCCGGAGTCGATCGCTTCGCCACCCCCGCCGCCGAAGCTGTGGATAGACTCGGCGCTCTGATGGATGAGAGAGTCTGGATCGACGGGACAATCATTCCCGCCCAAGCCTGCCGAAGCAAAACCTTGCTGCTGCTGCTGCTGATGTTGTTGCTGTCGTTGGCGATGTTCTCGGCCGAGCCGACTGCTGGATGTTGCCCTATTTACATGTATGTTCACAACACGTTGAGTGCAATGATATGAGGTTACAGGTAACCAACCAACGAGTGCGAACTGCCGCAGCGCAAACATGGGGCAGAAGGTACCGAGGGATTACTGTTGAAGGAAGTGCATATAGCGCTCTCGTTGAAAGCTTGTCGAATAAGGTCGGAAAAGAACCAAACGGAATTACGGGCGATCATCGTGCGGCCACTAACTTGCGGTCCGTGTGTTCACGCTGAAGTCGTATGTGTACGTACGGATCCCAATACACCTAGACTTTCTCTCAACGACACCGGGACGATTTCTTGGCGACGATCGCAAAAAAAGCGGCAAGTAGATTAACTCAGGGAGGTTACGAGAAAAACAGGCCTTACCCTGTCCTAGTCCCGCCTTGCCGTGAGGGGCACCGATCTATCTTGCCATCACCGCCACCTTGCGAGGGGAGCTCAACCTCCTCTCTCTGGGAACCATCGCCCGAGAACCCCCAGCCTGCTGCTGCCGAAGGCGACGATGCAGAGTCTGGATGGCTTGAGTACCGGCTTCTCCCACCAAGCCAGAACACACACACATACACGTGACGTTCGTCGGAAGTGCGAAGGACAGGTAGGTATGAGTGTCGCTGCGGTGAGATCATCGCTCCCTGCGAACGAGCTTTGTTACTGTAGATGCTCTTTCGTTGCGTGAACTGTGCATGGCGGGCAGCATGATGAGACCTTTCTGTGTACAAGCTGGCACGTGTTCGGTTTATTCGTGTTCGAAAAGGTCACGGGTGCGCTCTCTCTTCGTGCTTTTTGCTTGTTCCAAGAGATTCGCTCTGGGCGCACCTGCTTCTATCAGATGCCTCAACGAAGGACTCCCTGCTGCGGCTTGGCCTGGAGAACGATTGCTGCCCCTGAGGTCGGACAAGGGTGACGCAAGGGTTAGATATCCACCTTCCACCCAAATCACCATCAAAAACAGACTCGCACGCATGAACAGTTTTTGTCACCCCAGATGTTTTGCTATTAGAGGATGGAGTGTCACGGGAACGGCGAATGTGCCAAAAAAAACATGGTGCCGAATGCAACAATCTGGATGTCAGAATAATCTTCGAACTGAGTCTGTACCGGTGACGGACTGATCGGGGGCGTCAACCCTCTGTAGTGGTCGTCCGCCGGCGAATCACCACTATCCCAAAGAATGGCGGACGCGGGACTCGCGCCAGCTTTGCTTCTCGGCGCGCCACTTTCCCTCCCGGCAAACGACTCCCAAGGTCTGTCGGCTTCGTTGAAGACGCCTGTCGCGCGTACGAAGTGAGGCAAAAGAAAACGGGTGAGGACAACATACGAGACCAGAGCTGTTCTTCGGCGAGCTCATGGAAAAGGGGTGGCGCATACGTTTTGCCGCGAAAATGGCGTGCGCTTGTCTAACTACGTCGTGAGCACCAAACAGGAGCGTAAGTTTCACTTTCAAAACCTATCCATCAACGCGCTTCCACCTAGGACATGCTGCTAGGTGGAAACTATTGTTGTACGACAGGATGCACGCTACCAGACTGTCACCGCCATCGCTTACCACCGCCCCCTTCCTTCGGGGCAGCTTCCTCCCCCCCCGCCCTTCGCGGGGGTCGGTCCTCGTTGGCCCCGCGACCGGTGATGCTCGCCCTTCGGATACCGCTGCCGCCTCGCTCGCCCCCTCCCCCACCCTTACCCGACACTGATGCCCGGCTCCCGATCCTACCCCTGCTCCCGCTGCCCTCCAGTTGACCTCCTCCGCTTATGCTTGCCCTGGTATCGCCGGCCTCACTTCTCCCCCCACCCCTCCTCCTATCTTTCTTTGCGCTACTCATCCGGCCGCTGGCCGGACTGTTTGTGTCTCCATCGAACCCTCCACCTCCGTCGCCATGTAAGGCGCCCGGTGGGGCCAAGAGTGGGAGCTTGCAAGGGTCTCCGACGTAGCTCCCTCGAGGCTTGATGTGCGGCAGTATCCAGGTCTGGTCATCCTCATTGTACTCCCCCCTCTCCCAAATGCGGGCTATCTCTTTGGACGACAGGATTTGCCGGGCTACCTGAAGCACCGTCACAACCGGGCGACACGCTCAAATGTTGTTGTATTCGATTAAGGGTGTTCGTCATCGGCAATCCGGAGACACTACAGCAGGGGCCAAAATACTTGGGATCGCGACAAGAGTGGACCAATGGAGGTACACCAATACGGACTTCTGATGTAAGCACATGGCACGGTTCGCTCCGTAGATGTTTTCCCGGGTTGATGCGGTAGCGCGACCATCGAACAACGTTCGGGAATGGTGCAATGTACTACGTAAATACGATACCCCTTTGATTGCGAAACACCGACGGTGTGTCCACACAGGTGAGTGGCCGACGAACACGAACATCGAGCGGCGCACCTGTTCCCATAGCTGCAGCTCCCTGTTCTGGTTCCGAATGGAGTCGAGGAGCTCCTCCCTCTCCGTCTCATGCTCCATCGCGAGGTCTTCGATCTCCTCGCGGGCCTCCACCTACATTTTGCCGTGCGGAAACACCACAAAAGGAAAAATCACCGCGCTTATTAGCGGGGCTACGCTTTGGTACCTCAGGGTCCCTTGGGTGCTCACAATCAAAGCTGGGGTGCCTACAAGTTGGTTTTCCCATTGACACATTCCGAAACTGGGGTCGATGACAACGGTCGAGGAGGCGGCCTGTGGAAGGGAGAGGGTGGCCGGAAAACGCCAAACGGTTCCCCACCAGCTTTCTCTCCAGCTTCTTGCGTGACTTGTTCAGCCTACGCTCTTTCTCCTCCGCCTGTCCCACGACGTCGGCCATTTCCTTCTCGACCTGGCAAGAGTAGGGTTAAATGCCGAACAAATTGGTGTTGGCAGTTGGGATCAGCAGCACCATTCTAGTGCGGAGCACCAACGTTCATATCGTTTCGTGCAGCTGGCGCTCTTCATCTTGCGTTCGTCTGTTCACGGCAGATGAAATGCTGAGAAACCACCGACCACCCTGAAGATTCGTGGGCAAATTCCGTTATGTGAGGACCGCCTCGCAAAGTCTCTGTGAGGACCTGAAGACACCATCTCTTCAAAGCCCCTCCTTTCGACTGAATCGGGTCAAGTATTGATGTTTTGGTGGCTCTCACTCGAGACACCATACAACGACGTTTGGTCTTGTACGTGTGCAATTGCTTTTGGCGTGGTCACTCCGTGGTCTCTACCGCAACCATGTGTGACTCGAGTTGCCAGTCAGAACACACCAACTGTACCTCCGCTTTCTCCTCCAGGGCTCGCACCCGCTCCAGCTCCAGCCGAGTTTCTTTCCTACGTTTTTGCCTGAGCTTGGCCTGATAAAATAAAGGGGGGTAGTCAAGAGAAGGTGCGCGGGGGTGTGGGGAGCTCACTGAACACCTCGCTAGAAGGTCTTAGGCGCTCTTCGCAAGGGTTCTTACCCCACGAACTACGGTAGCGCGGGCGGGGCAGAAATAGCGACAGCGGTGGTCAAAGGTGCATCATACAGGGGAACCCGTCGCCCAAGACAGGTTGAGCTCCGTTCTTCGAATCGTTCACTTGAAGAGTTGTTTCTACCTGCATTCGTCGATGCTCCGCATTTCTGCGAGCGATGATGACTTCAGGGTCTTCGGTCTCCGCCTCCGTCGGAGATCCGAAGGAATCTGCGCCGTTGCCGCTGCCCCCCTTTTCATCGCCACCGCCTCGGCTGCTTGTTGTCCTCGTCGCTACCGAGGCTCTCCTGGCACGGCGGCGATCCTGGCTGGAGGATGAGGACAAGCCAATCACCTGGAACCACGTGGAGGGAAAGCGAACGTAGTAGCGGTGAAGTGCTCAGAGGAGATAGAAACACGTGGTATTGGATACAGAAGTGGCCGCGTTCGTCTTAAAAACTATGTACACCAGCCTGAACAGCGCAACACAAGGGGCAACGTGGCGCTCGCGTCGCCAGCATGTCGATGCAATCTTGCATGCACGTATGTAGCAGAGCCCGAAATAACAGACGAGCACGGGGAAGAAGGTAATATGAGTTGCTTACGTACAACAATGCGTGAACCCCGCAGAAATACCAAAAGTAGAGCGTCGTATACAGTCACCTTGGTCTGCAGGGCATCGAGCTTCCGTGCCATCTCCTCCCTGGCCTGCTTTTCCACATCCGCCCGGATAACAGATGTCTCGAGCTCCTGCCAAGCAACATTTCCAGCCGGGAGACAGGTTTGGATAACGATGTAATTCGTTTCTCACATGTGCATCGGATTCTAAATCAACGGTGGTCGAATGCCAGGTGTTGGTATGAATAGGAGGGGCAAGGGAGATTGACCAGCGGGGAGACACGGGCTCTGCTATTGTTTTGGGGTCGCTGTGTCGGCAACGGCCTACCTAGCTACCTAGATAACAGAGGCAAGATTGGTCAACAAGAATACACCAGCATATTTTGTGCGGAGTGCTCCCCTGTCGGTTTGGTACTGGCTGGAAGAAGGACGAATCGAAGCACCGTGATTCCAACTCGAATGTCGAAGGTTCGTCACCTGCCCTAGGCGATTGCGCTGCTCCTCCACCGCTCTGCTGTAGTTCTCCAAAGCTTGCCTGTGTTCCGCCATCTTCTGCGATTCCACCTCGACCTCAACCTCCTGCACAACCACCTGTTCGCAGGAAGGAGAGAAGTGACGAACGGGATTGTTGTCGGGCGAGGGTCCTTCGTTGGCATCTCGGACCGTGCATGGGGCCATAACGCGACAAGAAACCACACGAGCCGGGGAGGGTCCGTATCCACAAGAATACCTTCTCGCACTACCCCTACCAACCACGCTGGCCACCACAACGCGCGCTCACCTTTTCCTCGACGACCACCCTCTCGACGATCTTTTCTTGGACGACCACATCAGGGGGGACCTGTGAGATACTCGCCACCTTGGTCTCTCCCGACTCTAGTTCATCGCGGGCTTCTTCTTCCCCGCCCGCTTGCCCCCTTTCTACCCCTTCCCCGCCGCCGGTCGCTGCCGCAGCCACCACCGAAAGTTCGCTCGCGACGCCTCCGGTAGCAGTGCGGTCTTCTCGCTCCGGACCCGCGGCCACCGTTGGTGCTGTCGCGGTTGTCGCGGCTATCGCGGCGGGTTCCGCCGTACCGTCGCCGTCGTTGCCACCCTCTTCTTCGATATCGTGCTGTTGAGGGTTGTGCTCGATTCTTGCCTCTGCCGCAGCCGCAGAAGGAGATGAAGACGTCGGTGGAGGTTCGCGTGAGGGTGCGCGCGGGTCCGCTGCAGAAGGTGCTGCCTCTGCGGTTGCCCCTCCTGACGAGGGCGAGGGGGGCATTCTTTGGTCGCCGCCGCCGCCGCTGCTCGAGGAATCTGCCGCTCCAAGGGAAGCCGCTAGTTGCTGCTTTAACGCCTCGATTTCCTCCTGATGCACGGGGGCGAAAGAATGCCGAAAAACAACGGGAGAGCAACGCTAGGGGTGGATCTTGTGGCGTTCTTATTGCTGCCTCTCCCGCAAAACGATACGCAGCACCAAAAGGAGTGCTGCGGGTCTGCAGAAACATGACCGTCTACCCGGAGAAGTCACAGAAACCGTTTGGTTGAACGAACGTCAAAAGCCTGGTCTGCGCACGACATGCCGTTTCGGCCCGAACAATACTGTACCTTGTATTGTCGCAGCATGGCATCCTTGGGATCTTCGTTGATTTTGGGCTTGTTCTTGATGTTCTTTGCCCGGTTGGCGTATCTGATGGTACTCGTTGCGAGAAGGGCAAAAGGTGCGTGCGGCAAAGACCCCGTCAGAAGCAGAGCACCGAGCGGTTTCTTCCTTCTTTTTTCCCGAGCTTTTCGACGATCTTCGACTAAGAGGATCGGAATCTCTGGTTGATACAAGAAAGAAGGACTCAAGACCCTGTGCGCCATCGCCACACTGCGGCGTATCACGTTTGTGCTACCCGCGAAGGGTTACCTTAAGGTGGACAGCGTTTCCTCGTAGTTGTAGTCAGCCGGAGAGATGGCGGCCACCATGAGGGTCTTGGTGTTGCCGCCCAGGCTGCGGCGGGTTGAGATGTGACGGCAACAGCGAGAAGTCAAAGCGACGTAGGTATACTTAGGTATGCGACGCAGCGAAAACCAATCTTGCGGAGAGAACGTTCTGCCTTCTACAATATATGCCATGCCAAGGTGCTTAGTCCCGACTTACGTGTCGTGGGTCATTTTTCACGAGCCGACCAGAGAAGCGTAGTTTCGAGGACGCTTCGTCGCTTTTTATTGTACCAGGGCGAACGCATCAAGATCGGCTTGAACCCACCAGAGACTCAAAAACCATGCGATACGAGGTTGAATAAACAAGCGAGTCTCGCGATCATATGTATCCACCCCAAATCTCTCTCCTCCGGCTGTGCAAAAACCAGCCTTAAACTATTTTTGCTTGACTTCTACAAATGAGTATTCCTCAAATGGGATTTTGACGGGAATTTTTGTCTCTCTACAAACCTTCAGCATGCCCAGACCTCTAGCAACAAAAATCAGATGTATTCCACCAGTAAACTGTCTACATCGTTTTATAAAGAATGTGCTCACCTGTCCTGCAGCAGCCTCGTGAGCTTCGAATCTCTGTACGGAATGTGCTTCCCGTTGCCGTCCACCAGCGCCGAGATCACGTTCCCGAGGGCGGAAAGCGAGAGGTTGATCTTGCACCCTTCCTTCAAGCGGTTCCCTGAGGCCCCGGTCTTGCTCGCGCGCTCAGACCCCGCAAGGTCCACCAGGTTAAGCTGATTTGGATGCAGGAAGGGCAAAAGAACGGGAGTTGCAAAGTTTGGTGCTACGAGGGCGTAGAATATGACACGTGAGTTCCTTAAGGACTGTGTTTAACTGATGAGTGGTGGTTCGTTCCTCTCGGGAGGCACTGCCGTATGACTTGCACGCCCGGAGAGTGAGTGCATCTACAAGACATTATAACTCGCTCACTATCTTGGATGCCTTGCAAGTCATTAGCGAACTTTGTGGTTGTGGAAGCGGAGTTAGCCCGTTTCACTTTTTTGTGTGCTATCTGTGAGCTTGCCTTCCCCACTCGGATGTGGTCCTTGCCAGCCTCGTCTACGTCGTTGATCTCCACGACGATGGTAAAGATCGAGTGTGACCGCGAAGAGGTTTCGTTCATCGCCGTCGCGCCCACCGTGCGCATCTTCTGCCCCTGGTCCATGAGGCAGTTGATGCCCTCCTGGCTGCTCACGACTGCCTGAGTTAGGCCCTGCAAGATGGTGATCAACGCACAAGGAGACAGAACCAACGTAAGCTTCGGATATGTGTGTAGTAAACACCGATTGATCTCCTTACCAATGGTTACCTAGTCGGTTGAAAGTACCCGAGGGGTAAGTAACAATTATCTCTGCTGCGAGGTGCTTTCACGGGCGTTCACGAGGAGTTCGTGGGAAAAGGAAGGTGTAAGGAGAGAACGAGGTTTGGCTTTCGTCCAACTAAAAACACTTTTATTTGAACTTCCTATCATGCAGAGCCGACCATCATCAAGCACAGCCTTGGGGACCATCATGGTGACATACCGGCCGTCTCGTGAATACGCCCTCTTTACACCTACTTCTATTTCGCAACTTCATGTATGCAGCATCTTGAACCACAGTTACTGCTACGCACTCGTTCTTGCAGTCAACATAAGCAACTCTCGAGCGCTAACCTCGAGTGTGCGAAGGGGTCTACCTTGACGTAGACGCCCTTGTTGGGATCTTCCTTGAGCTCTAGCTTGTCCCTTTTCTCTCCGGCGCCGCTTACCGCGAGAAGATCCCGCACCTCTTCGTTGTAGATCTTTAAGGTTGGTGGTATGGTCATGCAGTATCGCGGAGCGTGGTGTTTTTACTGAACTACTTTCTCAACTGTATAGCGCTGCTGGATCGGCATCATTCGCCAGGCAAGCGCCACACCTTCCTGAAGTTGAGACGACCGGAACGAGGTTTTCTAAGCCCGTGTCAAGGTGCTCGGTCGGGGAAAATATATTCGGTGCAGTGTTGCTTTGGCCTGTTGAACAAACTGTTTGGCGGTATTCTCAACGAATGCTTGGGTTAGTCTACTGTACGCCGCAACTGCATGGCTCCAAAACGTCACATCAGCAACGGTACCAACAGGGGCACGGGTTTCCACGGTTTTCACCCTCCGTAAAAATGCGTGTAACAGGCTTCACTGTGTGTCTTACGTCAGCGTACTTGCCTCTAAGTAGCAGCAGCGGATAAGGAAGGCGGTGTTGACGCTACCCTTGATGTTCTCGAAGATGTGGTCAAAAGAGTGGGGAATGACCCCTCGCAGCTCCGGTGGATTATTGTAGCCCTGCATCGTGTGCGTCTTTCCGCATCCAGTCTTCGGGAATGTACAGCAACAGAAGCGAGCATTCAAACAAGGGCAAGAAAAGGCACCGGACAATCCATAGAGTCGAAGGAGAGAGACAGAAGAGGAGTGCCAAGAACGGCGGCATCCAACGGCAAGGTAGGCGGCTGAAACAGCTATACAGACGCAGAAACCTATGGTAGCTCCATCACAGATTGTGTACATGGCACGGTAGACTGTCAAAGCAGTACATGCGGAGGCTGTACAATGCCGAGAGCAAGCAATAGGAGGTGAAGGATGCAGTAGTAGGACCTAAGTCAACACGAACATGTAGCGTACTCTGAAGACCTTGGTGCGAGTAACGTCTGCGAAGGTTTCACAGGAGTCATGTCTAGACTGCAGTACAACTGGTACCTTCTCGCACCCAACACACAGCAGTGAGGACCACCGCCGTCCCTGCGGGTCGACAAATATTTCACCTGGCCGTAGGCAAAGATGGTGCCATTATAGCCCTCCATAACTCCTTCCACAAGATCGTAACACGACTCTTCGTAAAAGGCCTTCTGCTGGGTGGTCTCGTCATACACCGCGTCGAAGGTAAAGTTTTTCGGCGGGTGATCTGCCTTGGAGGGATTCCTGATGGAAATCTGCAATTTACGTTTAATGAAATGCATCGCTCTTTGTTTTATAGAGTCTTCCATGGTATGTACGTATTGTAAATATAGTGCAGTAACCATGTGGTTGCCAGACAAATTGGCGTATATTTGAATGCACCGTAGGAGAAAATGTAGAGAGGCGAATAAATCCTTGATGTGACCTTGTATGTTGTAGAGCGGCCCCGAGAACAGATGGGAAACAAAAAAAAACACCAACGGTTAGTACAATACACTTCGCAGTAGTGGCTCTCCCAACTGCATTGCAGTTGAAACGGTGGACGGCTACAAACGTTCTGTCTATTCCAATACCAATACCATCATGAGCCAGACGCTAACAGGTGGAAGACATTGCGCCAGCGGAAAGCCGAGTGTAGAGTCTTACCATCGTCCCTATACTGATCATTCCCCGTCGATCAATGTACTGCTGTTCTGCTGTGTTCTACGAAAATGTAGGATGCCAAAGGTGCGCTGCTGATGCCGCCGTTCACCTCCTACAGTTGCCTGCTTTGATGGCCATTCCGCCCTACGCCGGGAACTCTTATTTAAACCAAGCTTCTCAGGGCCAAGTAAACCTCGCGCAGGCCACGCACCTGGAACAGCGCAGTCTCCATTCCTATGATGCCGCCACGGTTCTCGTTCTTCTCTTTCGTGCTGAAGGGCCGACATCGCACAACCACTTGAACGCATTCCTGCTTTTTCTCCGGTTTCTTGTCCACCATTCTGGCTCACTCTCTTTGACCCTGGAGGTTCTCTATTTTACCGTTTACCCAGCAGGAAGCTTGAGCTTCCCGTGCTTGGGACGTTGTCCGCCGTGGTGAGTGGGACGTGTGAGTGAGGACGGGAAGATGCCTTCAGCGGGGTGAAAGTTGCGCCGCACGAAACGCCCAATCGCCGAACAGTTACCAGCTGCGAGGGAGAACCAGCCAACAGAATCCTCGGAAGAAAGGGAGAAAGGGAGCGATATCTAGCTAGCGTGGCGCTTATGGTATCGGGAATGCGGCTACCCTTCGCCTGCTACTTACTCTGACACGTTAGACCACGATGATGGCTTTGAGTGTTCGGACGGAGAGCTTCCGTGGGAGGGGCGAGAACACACGGAATCAAGGTCAGCCCAAAGAATCGCCGTGCATTTTACCCGCATCGCTCATTCGCTCGTTCGTACCAGTAGGATCCAAACAACACTTACAACAATAGGAAGAGTCTCGAGACCGTTGCAGCAGATTTTGTGGTAATTGCTTCGTACTAATGTCAAGTTCTGTTTATCAGGGTTTGAACAGCTGGCCATGGAATGCCAGAGTCGCCACCAGTGTTTGGATCTTCGAATCTTGGGTTACTCACTCATTTACGGCGACGGCAACCGATAGCTAGCCGTGGCCCCGTACATGTTTCGGTGTGACTCCCGTACATGTTGTTGTCGCCGCCGAAATCATCGCGTACTTTTGCAGCACGCCCTTTCGAATCTGAGGTTATTCTCTCACGTATTTGCTATGTTATTACTGTTGTAGACCACAATAATAATATACTATTAGTCTACTGCTGTTCAAATAACTAACTGGTGCTGCATGTAGAAGGTTACAGTAGATCTGTAGACCAATCGTTCGGATCTTTTGATTGCAGAAACCTATGAGCTGTATACTCTTCACGGCAAATATTTCCTTGCTCAACATTAAACCCACAAGGTCAGCCTAAACAAAACGTACTGTAGCACGTATACTACGTAGTAGATACGCAAGACGAATGACTTCGCTTGGCCCCCGTTTTGTTGAACAGTCGCAGCCTCTTGCTGCACAGCTGTGTCTGCCCACGAAGAACTGTTTGTATACTCTATGCGTCCAAACATGATCAGACGTTGGAAAGGCAAGGTTGTAGGGATAAAAGAAAAAACACGCGTGGCTGTAACGAACCCGACGACTAAGTGTGATAAAGATATCCGTTATGTCATTTATACGTCGATGGTGCTGCTGTATCTCGGGTGATTTCTACTTGCGACGAGCGTCATGCTTGAGCACATTCCAACCGGTTCCCAACCGGTTCATCGTACCACGACGCCAGCAGTAGCAGCCACAGTCTACATAGCTGCTCTGTGACTTCCTGCTTATTAAATGACGTACATGCAGGGGCCGGCGATGCTGAGCAAAGTCGACCGTCGTCAAGCGGCGGCCGCTTGGAACAACATCTCGGCGCCGTCGAGTCTGTCGATATGCCGCCGGCGGCGGCGGCGTTGGTTCCGTCGGTTCCGGTCGCATCCCGGACATTGGGTTTCCCCACCGGGCCCCGACCGACGGCCGTAGCAGTCACCCCGGCCAGAATAAACGCGGACGCTAGAGGTGAAAGAGACGTCCGAGGTGGCGGAAGAGCGGGAGGCAGAGACAACGGGGCAGCGCCGACGGAACACACACGAGCATTCAAGGGAGGCAGTAGCGGCGGTGCGAGTTTCGGCTCGCCCGGGAGTCGGGTAGTGGTTGACGAACAGCACCACCTTCCTACCAAGAGAACATCGGACGCGAGGCAGCAGGTCGTCGGCGGTCGAAGGGCACGTGATCGTAAGGGCGGCGGAAGACGGAGATCGGTCGCAGAAGTTGGGCAAACGGTAGGCGCAGAAGGCAACAGCGGCAGTCTTGCTAGAGGGGGTGGGGTGGTTCGTGGAAACGCGGACGGTGTTAAAGAGCGACCACGACGAGTGTCGTCGCAGCTCTCTTTTGGCTCGTCTGTCACCGAGGGCGGCGGCGGCGGCGGCGGCGCGGCGGGGGGAGGCCATCGTAGAGGAGGCCAACGTGGAGGGGAGGTCGGGGAAAACGCGAGGCGAGCTAGGTTGGGAACGCAGGACACCAAGTTTCGCATGCAGGCGGGACAGAGCAACACTCTGGTGGCAGTGAGGCTGAGGCCGCTGCTGAAGCACGACCGAGAACACGTAGAAGTGGCCAAGGTAATTGTGTAGACTATAGGTTGGATAAACGGCGTGTTTCATATGCTTCCCACGTGCTGAAGAAGTTGTGTTCCTCAATAACAGTATTGTTTCGTCTAGGCCAGCCCCTACAGCACGCTCTATGGACGGAACACGCCTAGCCCGCTTTGCCTTTCCATTTGCTCATGGTGTGGTCACCCCAGGTGCTGGATCACAGGGTGGTGGTCCTGATGGACCCTGCAAAGGTCAACCAAGAAGTTGACCCCCTCCGGGTAAACCGCACCAGAGAGAAAAGGTTCGTGGTTGGTGCACTTCTTCCGTTGTGCCAAGCTCATCTTTTACGGTAACGCCAAGGCTCGCTGACCTAAACGTAGAGCTGCTCTTCGTACCTCGGTTGTGCCATCGCGCTTTCTGGCATCTTAACCCCACACGCGATTTGGAACGGCCTATTAACTTAATTGAGAGTGTTGTTTCGGGTTAAACTAGCAGGAGGAGGAAGAGAGAAGTTGCAGGGGCATTGGATAGCATTTGTGCCGAGGTTTTTCAGCTGTGTAGGGAAAGGAGACAGTTGTTGCTCTGCGAGACAAATGCTGACCTCCGGACGCGAAGGAGTGCCCCGCAGAAACATGGGCTGATGCGAGTCGTGAAGAGAGCACCGACGCATTTGCGGCGATGCGGTTGATTGGGTATATGCCCCGTCTCAACAAGAACTTGTGGCACCGTGTGGGTCAACCACGGCAGGCAACAGTGCGTGCATGTTCCCGCCACGGTCTTGCGCAGTAAGACTATTTTTTGTGAATTCGCACGATAGGTACGCCTTCGACTACGTGTTCGATGCCACGGCGACGCAGAGGGCCGTCTATGAAAACACCACGAAATTTCTCATACAGGTGAACAATGAGTTAGATTTTGGCTGATGCGCGAGCTGCTCTCTTTCTTGATGATCGCAGGGAGAGTGAAGGGTGGTAGCACCGAGCTTCCAGCCTTGAACTGTACGTACGTAGCTGGTGATATTCAAGCTACAAGCCTGTCGAGGTGTAATCCACATCGCATGCCACCCGTTTCGATCAGGTTACATAGCTACGATTCGGTGCTGGGGCCTTTCCCATGTTGTTACATGCTGCGGAGACATGTATTGGATCCAAGGCAACATACATACGAAATAAAATACCCGTTGCACCTTTTGCTACTGCCAGGGCGTCGTCGACGGTTACAACGCAACCGTGTTCGCGTATGGATGCACCGGTGCCGGCAAGACGTACACCATGATCGGGAACGGCCAGGAGGGCCACCAGGGCATCATGGTCCTCACGCTGCAGGATCTCTTCAAGCAACAGCGCAGGGTGAGTGACGAGTCGCCTTGGATGCGATTATACCACGGTCGTGGTACAATGTGCAAGATCGAAACGAAAAAAAAAACGAGGCCGGTTTTGCCACGTGCGCACACTCCTATGCATCTGTATGGACTGATGCGCAGCACATATGAGCATCTTGAAATGTTCCGGTGTGCGGATTCAAAGACGTCTCTGGTTGAGTCAGGACCGGCCTTTCTCCCCACCCCCCTCTCCTCGCTGCTCTACCGTTTGGTGTTGACGTTGCCGTCCATGCTCCTGTCAACAAACGAACGAGCCAGGCAAGCGAGGTACAGGGTAGGCGTTACTCCGTGACCGTCTCCTTCCTCGAGGTAAGACAAGGTCTCGCCCAGACATATGTGCTAGCATGGGCATTTGCAACCGTATTGGATCCAAATCTGTACGCGGGAAGGACGCGGCCAACCAATTCGCTCTCCTCGTCGCATTTTTTTGTGGCCATCGACCTCAGAACAAACCAAAATAGCTGTCTTTCAGTTTTCGGTGTTGCCTCACCTTCCTGAACTAACGTCTGGGACATTTCGTTGTGCAGGTGTACAACGAAAATATTCGTGATCTCTTGAACGACACCGGGGAGTTTTTGGATTTGCGGGAAGACCCCATCAAGGTGAGGGGCGGGCCAAGCACGTTGTTCACAGCCGAAACGACAACGGCCAAATCTAACGTTGGTCAAGATACTGGTGTGCGGCACACAACAAGTCGAAGTACGTAGTTCGATGTGATTGGTATATATCGATTATTTTTATTTCTACGTCGTCCCCCGACTTCTTGCGGAACGTACTTCCGAACAATGCCTTTCCCTTCTCTTCTGACCAAGGTTTGCGGTTTGGGTGTGTGTTTCGGGCGATCTTTCCATCCGCCAGGGCCCGACTGTCTCGGGACTAGCCGAAGTGGAAGCCCGGACACCGGAAGAGATCATGGACCTCCTTCACCAAGGGAACCAGAGCCGAACCCAGCAAGCTACACGCGCTAATGCTGCCTCTTCCCGTTCGCACGCGGTGCTGCAGGTGGGCGTGGATTGTTGAGTTACAACTCTGGATGCCGCGTACGGTACATCTTACCACACCGCATTTCACCCCACACTTCCCTACGACCGCCCGGCCCTTGGTGCTGTTCACACGCCAGATATTGCATGGCCGCTGCGTGTTGCTGTCGCAGGTGGCCTCTTGCTTGTCTGTAGTGCCGCGGCGTGATACCATTTTGTCAGTCGAATATCAGCCCAATTTTTCTGCAGGCAACACGTAACTTCACAGCCGAACAAGAGTGTTCACGTATGCAGTTCAAGGCAAATGGTTCGATGTCGCCTTGTTTCAACCTCACTTCGACGCCCTCTTTCGACGTTGCAGCACATCATGAGTGTCACAAATAAGCTCAGCTGACATTGGGCAATTCGTCGGAAGACCATTCTCAGACTGCATGCTCCATTCTGAAAAAACGTTGTTTAGTATTTCGATTCTAATGTTCAAGAACACAACTCTTGGTAGATTGTGTGACGAGTCTGGTTCGCAATTGCGTCGATACACCTGTATGTACTTACTGGTGGTCTCACCAAACTAGCGAGGGCGTTCCCTGGCACGGGGTCAACCAACAACTTCGATGCCCAAGTGTTGACCTTCATTTTCCTTGCCGATGGTGTCAGGTGGTGGTGGAGAGTCGTGACAAAGCGCCGGGAACGGTAGCGACGATGCATATTGGAAAGCTGAGCCTGGTGGACCTGGCGGGATCTGAAAGGTACGTTGCCCACGGAAACAAAGAAGACGTGCTCTGTGTTTCTGTCTAGAGTAATTCATGCCGTAGTTTCCTTGGTGGTGACCGGTAGGTCTAACAGAAGTGTTGAAAAGCTTGCGCTCGACGACGAAAACAAATCCGCACCGAAAAATGCCCACAGGTACGTACGTGATCCGTTTTTCCCTCGCGGGTGGTGTATTGACCTGTAGACAGCGCTAATGGAACAGACATTACTTCCACACCTCCCCTCACTCTTCTACCTACATTTCCCGCAAGAAACACACGTACGGGGTGCTGCTACACCGCGCTTTGACAGCAACTGACCACCACCCTACCCCCGTCACACCTACCTGCACGCCCGGCCACGATGAATCCCTCCACGACGGGAAAATCACGCTTCCCGCGCACACGCGCAACAAACAACAAAAGAGCGGCCGCCACGCAAAACCGAGGGGTGCGCTTGGTGGAGGGAGCCAACATCAATCGCTCGTTGCTAGCGCTAGGAAACTGCATCAACGCGCTAGGGGAGAGGGGCAACAAGGGGCAGTTTGTTCCTTATCGGTGAGTGTAGGAGGAAGATGACAGAAGGCGTCATTCGGCGGGGGAACAAGTCATCCTTGAGAGCAGCAGTGGCGATCCATCGCGTGTTTTCGTGCAAGACAGCAGAATAACAATGACACCTGAAAAGTCTCGAGCACAAGCTCGGCACACCAAGGACGTCAAAAACTCAGAACAATCGCAAATCGAATGGTGCAAACGACGCGTCGTTTCTCCAAAAACCCTCAGTTCCCTGACCGTGCGCAGTTTTCTCCCTCATCTTCCTCTCCTCCACCTCATCTCGACAACCCCCTCGTTTGGTGCACCACGCTGCAGTGATTCGAAGCTGACTCGCCTGTTGAAAGATTCCCTGGGGGGAAACTGCCGAACCGTCATGATTGCCAACATAAGGTGAGCGTGAAGACTTTGTAGACTATACTATACCCACGACACACAATGGTAACCCATGAATGAATTCTCTATGTAGCCTCATCGCGCTGACGTCGCGCGAGACGCCGTGTACGTGACGTTACCGCTTCGCGATTTGCTGACGACGGAGACAGTTGACAAACAGTAGAAATCAAACAGCTCTCCTCGCAAAACGAGAGCTACATACAGCACGATGGCGAGAACGAGCTGTATCGCTTGCGACTCCGACTCTGTTTCGAGACCACTGCTGGATCACCCCCTCCCCTCTTTGTCGGAGAACCGATTGCCAGCTAAAGTTGACGAGGAAAGCATGCGCGCGTTTTCACTGGAGACCCTTCCTTATTCTGTGCCATGCGACACCTTGTGTGATGGTAATGTTTCGCAGCGGTGCCTCGTCATCTTTCGAGGAAACGCTCAATACCCTCAAGTACGCCAACCGCGCCAAGAACATCAAGACGAACGCCACCCGCAACTCCCTGGACGTGAACCACCACATCTCCGAGTACGTTAACCTCATCGGCAGCCTGCGCACCGAGATAACCAGGCTCAAGCACCAGCTCGTGAGGGGCGGACGGAGTGGCGGCGGCGTAGGCACGGGCGCAGGCGGCGACGGAGTCGGTTCTAGCCGGTCTGAGGTACGAGCGAGCGTCCTGTCATTCCTTTGGAGGTGTATGTCACGTACTATTGACAAAGCAGCGCACGTTCTGTTGCTGTTGTTTTCCCGGTCGTTCTTGACTGGCTAGTTGGTTCCACAAGCAAGCCAGCTTGTAAAGCACACGCGCAGATACAACCTTGACGGGGTTAGTGTTTTTGAAGACACGAACTGTGCCGACTCGAAGCACAAGAAACTCTCTGTAGCAGAAACCAATACCGTGCTAACGTCTTGCCAAACACACAGCACCGCTTACTACTTTCTCTCGCTCTTAAACGGGGGTGATAGGACGGTTGACTTCTTCTTGCGCCTCTGCAACCACGTCCGAGAGATCGGGTTCTAGCGTGCAAAACCTACACAGGGCAGTGTGATTACATTGGCCCCACGCTCCTCCCTCCTCCAATAACAACTCATCGTGTCTCTTCTCGTTGCACGCACACTTTCAGGCCATGGTGTTCTCTCCGTCCCTCAAGGCGAGTACCAACTCTCTGTTCGCCCCCGCGGACGACGAGCAGCAAGAGCTCAGAGGCTCGCGCGGCAAAGAAATCACCGGGAGTTCGGAACGGGCGTCGTTGTTGTTGTCGCCGTCGTCGTCACCGTCGGCAAAACTTACGAACGATGTTGGAAGCGTTGGTGGCGTTGATGCTGGCGCCGGGTCGATGATGGAGGCGGTCGACGGGGCTGCCGGGAGCGGCACAAGCAGCCGAAACGGCATCGACTTGGCCATGGTTGCCGGTGTTAGGGATGCTCCCGCGTCTTCTCCGCCGGTGTCGATGGCGGATGGGGAGGGAGCAGTGGTCTCCTCTCCTCAGGACAGAGATTTCGTGGAAGAGGTGGGTAACTCTAGTGAGAAGGAACCATGGCGAGACTGCTTGCTCAGCGCTGTTCGGGCTATGCGACCGACCCTGTCTCCCGGTTAGGTACGGGGAAGATCATGGGTATGTCCTCAAACCACGCGCACACATCTCTTTTAATTACACAACAACGTCCGATGGGGCGAGAGCAGGTACGCGAGAAGATCGTGGAGAACTTCCGGGAAAGGATGCAGCTGCGGCGGTCCCTTATCGAGCTGGAGGATCAAAACGTCCAGAACAGCATAGAGGTGACCGTTTTTGTATAGGTGTCAAGTTCACCTGACGTATGGCTCATGAAGTAAGAAAGCTCGACACGCCTGTCCTTCACAGCCCAGATATATATATATATCTTGAAAAGACAAAAGATAACCTCATAAAATGAAATTAATGTGAGGAGCGTCGAATACCATCAAAAGCAAACCTATTCGAAACTCTATCATCGTGGTGTCAACTAAACACATGTAGTGTATGTACCAAACCCTACCCATCGCCTTTTTTCCTCTTGGTTTTTTCCTTCAATGCTCTTTGTGCGCACAATCGTAGGTCGGAAAGAGACAACTGTCACTTGTGGAGTGGCACGGTGGGAGGCGCCTTCCTCAAGAGGCCGCTAGCGACGCGTTACGAGGTGAGAGACAAAAAAACGAAATATACACCAGCAGTTACTGGGTTAGTCGCAAGAGGTCTTCAACCTTGCTGTATTCCTACAACCCAAGTGTCCATGCTTGGAGCTGTCTGCAACTTTACAGACTCTCGAGGGGGAGGGAGGCAGACAGAGGCGAGATAAACACCGAGAATACTTGTGGAACAACTCCGAAACGTGTTGATGTTTCGTCGCCTAATTCGATCGAGCTGGCTGAGCGTGTCTAGGGGTGTTAATGGACATGATTCGAAACACGATTGGAAAAGAGACGAACGGAGAGGCAGTTGGAGTGACCTATACCACCACACCCTGTATGCTGTTGGTATTCTATCCCCTCCTCCTACCTCTTCTTAAAACAAAACAGCACATATGAACCCCCTCCCCCCTGCCCTCATAACGCACGTACCTCAACAACAGGGTTGACACGGCACGGGGGGTGGGCAGAGGCCGTCGCGGAAGCAGCGGAGGCGGCGGCCGCCGGCGGCCGGGGTGACGGGAGCATCATCTCACCCCCACCGCCAGAGGTTAGGGTGGCGTGGAGGGAGTGCGAGCAGCTGTGCAGCGCCATCTCCAAGAATAACGAGACGAAGCGCAAGATATCGCGACGGTTGAGGAACAACGGCCGCCAGGCCGAGAGGTTCAAAGCAGACCTGGATGGAAAGGTGCGCCGTACGAAAGTAAAACCGGTTTTCCGATGGGGTTTGGGTGCTAGAGTCTTGTGGTTGGTCTTCAAACTATCGCGACTCATGGCCAGGCCCAGGCCCCGTAATCCGTTTTGCTTCTATCGGTTGACTACCACAGCGATGGTGATATTGTCATCTTCCGCGGTATTGGTATTGGCCACGAGGTTGACACGATCGACACCGGGAGATAGAAAACAGGATCATGAACCAACCGCCGTATGAACGACGGAGAGGTGCTGGCGCATGTCAGAACTTGCACCTGTTCTGAAAGAGAACGCCGTAATTTCCCCCGTTTCCACTTGACTTCGTGTTCCTGCCGCAGATAACCGGCGAGGACAGAAACCAACTCATGAGATTGCAGTATCGCATCGGCAAGCTAGAGTTGGACAATATGGAGCTAGAGCAGAGCCGAATTGTGCACGAGAGCGCCATGAGGGGGAAAGACCTCACCATAGAGAAGCTACAGCTGCAAGTGAGTGCTGTAATACGCGTTTCTCGACCGGTGCACATGGTGCTTCTATCTCGACACTAACATAGAAGACGTGCGGTTCTTCTTGCACGAGTAGAATTTGAAAGGCTAAACCACATGAAAAAAACTTTCCCTTCGCGCTTGGTGATGTGAGAGCCTGGTCCGGTGAAAACCCGGCGTGCTCCGTCCCGGCTTGGTAGGGATGCGAGGTCAGTGGTCAAACGACTATGGCATGCACGACTGACCAGTGTGTGACTATGAGTTCACCCCCACCCTCTGTTTCGAACAGTAGGCACTTCGCCTGTCGAGGTGAAATAGTGGATATCAAATTGGTATGGGATGGCCCCATATTCTGAATACCGCGTGTCCGCCCGCCCGCCTCGCCCTCTCGCGCCGAACTATCGTGCCCGCCCTATCAGTTGGCCGTACGAGATCGAACAATCGCTCTTCAGCAGTCAGTTCTCAAGGAGCACGGCCTCGACAACGTTGGCTTTCCCGGAAGCGTGGGTGTAAACCAGGCATGTTTTTTCCTCGCCTGTCATTGACGTAAACTCCTGTATCCGCTGCATGAGTGACTTGGAGATTCGGAAGTCAATTTTTTGTCAATTCCAGTCAGTTGTGTCATATGGGGGTACTGGGTAGCAAAAGGGCACTCTTCTTGTAAGGAAAAAAAACGCTCCTCCTTCTATCTTGAGTTGTTTTTTCCTTTCACCGTGTGTTTTCTCTCGTTGAAGGTCGGAATCACGGACGCTTTGGACGCCTTCCTTCCCGAGGGGGTTGTCGTGGGTCGTACCGACAGCGTCGGGAGTACATCGTTCGACGATGGTGACCACGGCGGCGACGTCCATAACGGTGATGACCAAGATGATGGCGACGACGGCGACAGCGGCGTGCTAATCCCTCGATGTAGAAACGGAAGGAGGGGCGGCTGGGGCTCGTCGTCTTCAGATAGCGAGGAAGACTCCCGCCAGAACACAGCCGCAAAGATGAACGGGGGGGGGGCGAAGAAAGACGGTCCCGCTGGCATCGCTGTCATAGAGAGCGGGAACATCAACCCCAGCTCAACCCAGGGGGGGTCAGCGTCTGTATCGGCAACTGACTCAGCGGCAGGAGCAGAGGAAGACGATAAAGAAAAACAAGAAAAAAGTCGGCACCAAAAGCAACAGCAACAGCACCAGCCGAGGGACAGGCTTGAGCAGATGATGGAGACCACCCTGGGGCGCTCGACAGGGCAACAGTGGCCAAAACGCCGGCCGTCCAAGACCATGTCGCGAACAACTCGCCAGACGACTCACCCCCCGCCGCCTCAACCGCCGTTGTCATCATCGTCGTCGTTGCAGCCGAAGCCAAAGTACCCACAGACCAGGTCGAGGAGACGTCGAGTGCCGTCGAACACTGGCGGTGGCGGCGGCGGCCACCTGCAAGGCGACCACGACGACGACAGCATCGAAGACGGCCTCGTCGTGTCCTCCATCATTCCCGACGCGGCGTCGTGCGTGGCGCCGTTCCACGGCCCGCTACCGGTGTCCCTTGCCTTCGGGTGCAGTTCTGATGGGCTCCTGGCGGTGCCGGCCGGCGACGACGCTTTCGCGGCGAAGGGCAGCAGGGCACGGGATGAGAGAAACTTGTCGCTCAACGACCTGGCCGCGGTGAGAGGCATCTCGGTGAAGCAGCGGCAGCCGGTACCCAAGGATCGGAGCCCAAACCCCCAAAACCAACCTCCGTCTGACAGTGTAGCCCCGAGCTCCGCCGGATTCGCCGGAAATTCAGCCTCGGGAGTCCCCGTCACGACCTGGGACGGCGCCAGCGGAGGAGATGCAGCTGGTGGGAGCGGTTTACCAAACGGCGAGGGTCGCACCGGTAACGACCTTGTCATACCCAACGGACCACTTGCAGTTTCATCTTCAACGGGGGTAGGTAGGATGTTTCAGAACCAAGCTCAGCCTCCGCACCCGCTGAAACACGGGTCGTCGGCGTACGCAGAGGCTTCAGCAAGACCAGCTGGCCTAGTCGCCGACGGTCCAGACAGCATGGGCATCTCGGGCACCAGCGTGGCTCTACCGTGGAGCAGACGGCAGGCGCCCACGTCATCTTGTAACGCCGGTGGCGCCATAGGGGCCGGTGCTGACCGAAGGCGGTTGAGACGCGAGCAGACCCGGGCCGCCGCTGCTGGTGGGGTTGCCCGAAGCAACTGGGGTAGCGACGCTGCCAATACGAACGTTGCGGCCCAAGGGTGGGGAGAAAGATCGCACGGTGGTGACGACGTCGAGCTGCGAGGGCGTATGGGCGAGGACAGACCGCCGATGGCGCATGGCGTAGGGACAGATGCAGCAGAAATGATCGTTGTTGCTTCTGCACTCGGAGCCGGGAGGGCGGACGAAGGCGAGCAGCGTGAGGCGCGTTTCGGCAGCTTAGCGAACCTCAAGGCGAGAATGGGGGTAAGGTGTCAGCAGCAGCAGCAGCAGCAGCAGCAGCCCGCAGAGGCTGCGGCGGGGTCGGGTGGCGGAGGCGTTGCCAGTGGAGAGAGAAACACACAGGAGAGCGCGGGGAAGGATCGCGGCCCCCGACGCACTCCTCATCAGGCGTTTTGAGCCAAGAATGTGCAGGTTTTCCCCGTTCAGATCATGATTTCGGGCTTATTTCATGTGCGTTGCACAAATCGTTACGCAATGAAGATTTGTACGGGCCAAACCGAATCGCGTCGCACGCACGGCCCCCACACGCGGGGGGCATCGTGTCAACCGACCCAGGCGCGATCTGTTGCGTGTAGGCCGTGGCTAGATCACGCCGGTTATCTCGTCAAAAACTGCAAGGAAACCAACCGCACGTCGGAGGAACACCTCACAGGAGGACTGAAAGTGATGCGTCAAAAAGACGAATAATAAAGTAGACGTTCGGCACCGCTGTCGCGGGTAAACACACAGCAAGAATGTCACCACCCACGCGGAGAGTGTACTCCCAGATCATGCCTCACTAAATAGTAACCAAATCCAGAGATACCATAAACGTCTACCGACACGATCGCCATCTCTTCAGCGGAGGACCAATTCGTGACAAATAAATCTAAGATACCTAGACGCGCTGTCGCGGGTAAACACGCAGCAAGACGTTGCCGTCGCGCACAGCGCGCACATGTACCGTCTTATCATGCCTTGACCATGTCTTGCTAACCTGCCCAAAGCTAGAGGTCATTCAAACCCAATAGATATCACCAAAAACGTCGCCCGACACAATCGTTATCTCTTGATTTTACGAACGTGTTCAACATCGTTATCCTCTCGAAACAGAAAAAAAAACGGATCCCGATTACATTCCATACATGTACAACGACTTTGCCTCGCGTGGGGGGGGCTCAGAATCAACCCATGTTTGGCCTGCCGCGATTGTTGGAAGCGCATTCACCCGCGCGCCCAGTTTTGTTAAGGCTCTTATGCATACATCAAACACAAACCAGGCTACCTGCTTGGAACTGGAACAACTGACACGAAAAGAGTGCAACAGCAAAAATCTTACATTTATGGAAGTAAACCACGAAACAACACGGGTGATTAAATACTACCGCTTTGTGTGTGCCGAGACCCCCCCCAAAAAAGACACATGTCCCCCTGCCGACACACGGATGGTTTGATTGTGGAAAACGACCAGCCCAAAAAAAGGCGTAGCAACTACCCGTTCAACATGTTCCGGCAAGATGACGACACTCGTGGCAGGCAATGCGCATACCAGCGGCAGTGCGTGAATCCCGCGTCATTCGATCCATGATCATGTCCCTGCTACCACCGTCATCCCATCCGACCGCGCTCCCACCCGAACTTTTTTCGAAGAAATCCCGGGAAAAAAAAAAAAAGTTCCTTAAATTACCCTACACAATTCTGGCATAACCGATACACCTAGATAGTAGTCTGTCTATGTTCGAAAACCCACAGTTTTGGTTGTCCAATCCGCAATAGGAAGCTGAGACAAACTTCGTGGCCGACAGAAAAGGTTCGCAGTACGTGGTGTGTAATACGTGGGATGACCAACCTCCTTTAATATGGAACACAAGGGAACAACAAATATACTCCGAAAACTGTGCACTATACACCACCGACGTTTATATATAGGGGAAAGTTACAATACGAACACACATACATCGACGACACTCCCAGGTGCGCACCCTACCAAGCACCATACGCGACGCTATTGTGATGGGAAATACTCTTGAGTGCGTGACCAAGAGAAACACGACTAGAGAACTCACGACGATACAACCTAGGGAAACGTCTACAATCAACTGGACAAAAAACAAAAAACGACGGAGTAGCTCTCCACACACACATCAAAAAAGAGAGGGGACTGCGACGTAGGCATGCAATACCCGGGAGGGAGGAGATGCTTCCATACGGAAAAAAAAAATGCCACTAGGCCATCCCCCGGATAATCCGCTTGCTGCGGCTTTTCCAAAAACCTGGAAGTTGAAAGTCTCCGCAAAAATCAATTTCGGCTCTGATTTCGCGGGCGTTTCGCTGCGATTCCCGCCGTCATGGCGCGCCTACCAAAAAAAATTGCGCTGCATGTAGGCAAGAAAGACAAAAGCTGCCTTGCGTGGTTTCTTCTTCTTGCTCCCAGCGCTGCGCAAGAGAGTAAGGACTGCTTTCGCCTTGCGAACCAGCTAGTTTCTTCTTCATGCTCCCAGCAGCTGGGCGGTTGGCTAACCTTTACCCCGAGGCTACTTGCATGCGCACGAGGCCGAACTTCGCGGCGGCCTCCTCCGCCAGCTCGGGAGCCATGGGCGGGGGCACCGGCGCTGCCGAAGTAACCGCCCGGGAACGCTCGACGGGGCGGCTCCCGCCGGCGCCGGCGTCCGGATGATTCGCCGGAGGGCTTCTCTCGGCCAGCTTGGGCGGGGGGAGGATCATGATGGCGCGGGAGGAACGCTGCTTTCCTGGGCCCGCCACCGCTGCTGCAGCCATCGACTTGCTTCTTGATGGTCGCGAGTCGTTTGTTCCGGTCGGCGTCGAGTTTCGCCTGGCCGGGCGGCTGCCGCTTCCGCTACCGCTACCGCCGGTAGCGCCAGCGCCTACGGCAGCGACCGGCGCTGCCGTCTGCTTCACCGGCGTCGGCTAGGTGGTCGAGCGAAACGGCAGCATTCGCTGTCTTCACCTCGCTCAGCCGTAGCACCCGCCGCCAGCCGCCGCTCGCCGCACGACTTGTGGTCCTGTACGACGTCTTGTCGCCTTCGAAAAGCTTCCTGCGGAGGGCCTGGAAAAAACCTTCTTCCTCTTCGTCCACCTCCACCTCCTCCTTCTTCTTCTTCTCGCCCCCATCCTCGTTCCATTCGTCGTCACCCCTGCGGCCCTGGTTCCGCGCAGACGCGAGATATCGAGTCCCGTCCGGCTTCCAGACCGCCTTCGAATCGATATCAATCCCGTTGGAGCTGACAGCGGCGGCAGCGGAGCGGTTACGCTGCTGCCTCGCCCCGTCCCTGTCGAACCCGCCCCAGTGGCCGGCGATGCCGCCGCCGGTCTGGCCCCCGCCGATTCCCTGGCCGCCGCCTAGGCCCCCGTCGCCGTTGGAAATGTCGCCGCCGTCCTTGCCGCCGCCGGCGTTCCAGAAGTTTCCGAAGAACGATTGCCGCTCCGCTTGCACGGCCGTCGCGGACAGCCGCGGAAGAGGCGCCGGAGCGACCGAAGAAGACACGGACAGCGGCGTCCACTGCAAAGGGGAGGGGGTGGGTAGGGTTTTTCCATTGCAATAGAGGAAGCCGGAAGCAGTTTTACCGCCCTTCAACAGGTTAGGTGGACAATCATGGGAAGCAACAACCCGACTTGTGCGAGCCGAGTACAGCACGCTTGATGGATTGCCTAGGGCGGTGCCCACTGCGAAAACGATGGCGGTTAGGGTTTTTCCATGAGGGGAAGTGGGACTACCGCCCTCTTGAACAGTAAGGCCGGGGATGGACAATCATCGGAGGTAACAACCCGGTTTGTGCGAGCGAGAAAGGCGCGCACCGCTTGATGAACAGCCTATTCGGCTGCCCCCCTTAACCCTAAGCTTCACCTTCAGGGACGATTGGTTGGATCGCGTGCTGGACCGTTCGCTGGACCTCTCGCTGGTCCTCTCCGCCGCCCGCACGCAGGCCGTGTCCACGAGGTCTTTGACGAGCAGCTTCATCTCAAGGGTGATGATCCTGTGCTCTAACTGGCGACGCTGCAAAAATCATAGCATAGAGAGAGAACGGGGGAAGGGGACGGCACCCCCGACATCAGACCCAAAAACCCGGCCCGCAAGACAATCGCACGTCGAAACGCGGCCCGCCTGCAGCGCCAAGCCGATGGCGACAACCTTGGAAGGCAACAAAACAAGATTTGCCACACCGGCCCCTAGACAGAGGGTGTCAAAGTGGCCTAAACGTACCCTTTCGTGGTCGGTCGTTCACGTTCACGGTCCCTAGGCAGGGTGTCAAGAGTGGGCTGAACGTGCCTATTTAGTCTTTCTTGCTCGGTCGTTCACGACCAGGCCCACCTCGGCCACACGTGACAAAAGTGCGGTACTCACTGCGGCGCGGTACCACCCGCCGGGACTCGGGTGCAGCAGCCGCGTATAGACGAAAACACAACAAAACGGCGAGAAAAAAACAATAATCCTTCCAACCCGCGCCGAATTCTGCGCAAAAAAAAAAAAAAAGACTAAAAAAACACCATATACGTACCGCTTCTGCATCTTCCTCGGCCTTCAGCAGTGTCGCCACCCGCTCCGCCGACGCGGCGTCTTCCCGAGCGGGGTGTTCCCGGTCCCTCCCGGTGGTGCTCTTCTTCGCCTTCTCGCTGCGTGACGAGGACTTGGAGGAGCTGGAGGTACCCAGGCCCTCGACCGGCGTCGGCGATGCCGTCTGTCGCCGCAAGCGGCCTGTCCTCCCCTGGACGACGGGGTCGGGCGTCGACTTGCTGGACAAGCCCGTGCCGAGGGTGCGCTGTTTTGTTTGTCGGGGATGTTGGGAAGGGGGGGGGGGGTGAGGCGGAATTTGTTGGATCGATGATCCCCTTGGTAGAATCATACCCGTCTGACCAGGTCTTGTTGTAGAAATGGACGCTGCGCCACTGAACGTGAGATCGTTCGGCGCAGACGGAAAACAAGCAGCAGCAGCAGCAGCAGCAACAGCTCGCAGCCACAGCCTCCGCCTGACTACCAACATACCATCTGAACTTCCGACACCATTAACAGTCTAATCGCGACAGCACCACGCCCCCCCCCCCCCCTCCCT